CGGTTACGAGGCCTGTGGGGCTCTGGAGAAGCTGGTCTGAAGCCCGTGGTCCCCCGCCCGGCTCCAGGAGGAAGCGAGCCCCAGTGGCAGCGCCCCAGCCCCGGGCCTCTCCATCCCCCGCTGCCCGCGCTGCTCCCTGCGAGCGCGGGAGGACGCACGGCCACAGGCGGAGGGACAGATCCCCTGACGTTGGGGCGGAGAGAGTTAATCCTGTTTACGCACAATCCCCATCAACTGGGAAAGAGGGCTTGTAAGCTCCTCCTCCCACGGAGCGGGGGTGGGGGCCCCTGAAGTGCGGACCTAGGACCCAGAGGGGGAGGTCACCAGGTTAAGGCACTAATGCACCTCCAGATGGGAAACCCCTAGACTGGACACCTCGGCCCTGGCGGGGAATGAGAGGAAGAGGAGGCTGGAAGCGTGGCAGGAAATGGATAATCAGTGATTTCAGTTTCAGGAAACGCAAGTCTTTACAAAGCTTAGGAAATGGCCGAGGGGAGGCTCAATTCCATCCAGCACAATTGGGGAAGGGATGAGAGAAGGAAAACCAGAACGACACATATTCCAGCCGGTGCACTTTCTTGTGGGTGCCTGAGTGTGTATTTCCATCATGCCTATTCTTGACTCGCGCGTGACATGGTTTAATAAAGAATGTTTTGCACAGCTAGTAACCCTGTAACAACCGGCATGCGTCTAAATCGTGTGGATTGCCCAATAAGTAAGGAAATGCAGATTTACTTGTCTTTGTTTCCTTAGCTTGGTGGATAAGTCCACACTCACTGTCGAGATTGTTCATTTTGAAAGAGACGTGGATTCTGTAGAAATATGTTGAGGTTGGAGAAAGGCTAGTCTCAAAGCCTAATCTTTGTTGTAAAAAAAAAAAAAAGTGAAATTGTTTGCTACAGATTTTTAACCTCTAGTAAACCCGGCCTTCCCTTGCTTCCTGGGTGATCTCACACTGGTAACAGGCATGCTGGTAGATGCCAGCCGGTCGACCATAACTCACAGCGACTCTGTGAACAACAGAGCTGGACGTTGCCCTATTCTGGGCCATCCTTACCAACCTTTATATGCCCATGGCCACAGTCACTAACTCAGTCCACTTCATTGAGAGCCGTCCCCTCTTTCTCTGACCTTTCCCAGCATGATATCTTTTCCCAAGGTCTGGCCCCTCGTAACAATTTTCATTATTCTTCTCTAACATTATAAGTTAAAGGCTTCCATTCTCAATGTCTAACTTTTAGGTGCAGAATTAGTAATTGAAAAGCTCATGGCTTGAATCAGGCATACCTTAGTCTTTAAACTGACATCATTGCTCTTTAGCACTTTGGAGAGGTCCTTGGCTGCAGAATTCTCCAGTGCAACATGTCTTTCGATTTCTTTACTGGTGGTACCATGAGTGTTCATGTCGATCCAGTAAATGAAATCCTTGAAACTCCATTTCTCTTTCCATCAAGATAGTGCTCAAATAGAAGGATGGGTGAAAAGATTATTGGCAGGAAATGCTAAGTGATATCACAGAGCATGAATTTTCACATAAGGATAATTAGAGGACATTCTTAGCATGGCCTATGAGCAAGAATACTAAGGCTGTGTTCACAGTGAATTCAGATAGCTGTCTGCGAACACCTGCTTCAGCACTACCATGGTGGACAGTACCAGGGCCACTGACAGCACCTGGCAAGGAAGAAGTGAGTTAGTGAAGGCAAAGGGTCAAGATGTTTCTGTTCACTAATTTTTGTTCACCCAAGGTAGGAGTATAATTTTTTTAATATTTCATGATTTCTAAAATTATTTGGTTCTTAAAGTATTTTAACAAAACTCCCCTATTTTTCACTCTTTGTACAGCATTGTAAAATTTTTTTTAAAAAAGATGGAATACCATCCAATAAAGAAATGATTGAATAAATTCTTGTCTATCCACACTATTGACTAATAGTTGAGGATGAAATACTAAATTACCTTACCTTGCATTAGCATACATTTATGCTAAAACTGTTCATGATAAAATGGAGTGAGAGGAAAATCACAGAAGCAGGTGGGCAGTAATTTGGGGTCTGTTTTATTCACAACTGTATCCCCAGCATACACAGAATAGTCTACCCAGTAGTGCTCCGTAAATATT